TATTTCAATAAAAAATAAAAGGATTGAATTTTACTGCTCTGATTTACTAGTATTATAACTAATAATTTGTAAGATTGAAATTTTTATTCCCGAGGAGCTCAGTTAGAAAGATACGCTGAACACAACTTCATTTTTGTTTTTACTTAAATTACTGGTAGAGAAAACAAATATAAATGTGCCCTATTAAAAGAATACCTCAAAAGTGAAAATTCAGCTATCGCTCTACAAAAGGATTAATCATAGCTTCTCTTAAAAAAAACTGCAAACTGTCATGATGTGTCATCTTAAATATGGTTGAGAGGGGAGGGTATAGCTCAGTGGTAGAGCCCGTGCTTAGCATACATAAGGTCCTGGGTTCAATCCCCAATACCTCCTCTAAAAGTAAATAAATAAACAAACCTAATTACATAACCCCTAAAAAAAACAAATAAACAACCTAATTACATAACCCCTAAAAAAAACAAAAAGTGCCACACATTTGAAAAATAAAATTTCAATGTGGTTGAGTTTATATGACACTTCAGGAATCCATCCATCAGAAAAACAAGGTTTTGGTGTGTTATTGGCAGGTTATCATGATGCTACACTTTCTAATATCCACATTCCACTGATCGAAGATTATCTCTTCTCTTATAAAGCAACAACAATTCTTTTCTAATCCAGTATATGGTCCATTAGTCAGAAAACATGAATGTATATGTGGAGAGAATTCAGACCATCAGGACGGGCTGACTCCACAGCACCGCGGTTTCATGTGCTAGTTAGAAGAACAGGTTTGAACCTTAATCTTCTAATTTGCTTGAGTCATTCAATTTTGAGTTGCTTTGCATGCACTTTCAGCTTATTTCTGAAGGTCATTCTGTTTCTTGTGATTCTTGTGTGATTTTCCCAGCTGATTTGCTATCTGCTCCACTAATATTTCACCACTTTAGCAGAAAAGGATTTCTTTTAAATTCCCTGAAGTTGAAGAGATAAAACTTATAAATTTTTCAGTGTATTTAAATTTAATGTATCAGTGTTTTCCAGGCTTTTCACAGAGGCAAAATTAATTATGTGGGTTTTTTTTTTAAGTGGCTGGTTTTTTTTTTTCATCTTCCCTATAGCAAACAAATGCAAGGAAATTGACAAAGTAAATGCCATATAATTGTAATCAGCAATGAACTTCACACATTATATACTTATTATGGAAATGACTTCCAAGGCTAAGCAAAATTGTACTAAAAAGTTTCAGGATGCAAAGGTAACATAAGAAGTGTAGAAAATAAGGGAATCATGAAGAAGCACCATCCTAGGGTTTGAATTCTAGAAACGGCAATAAATCTGAATTCTAATAGCAGCTCTCATTGATCTTGGACAAATCACTTCATTTAATTGCTGTAAATAAGTTTCCCTCTTTAAAATGATTATAAAAATGCCCACAGTGTCTGTGAGTATATTACAATATTACCCAATTGTTACGTTGTGAAGCACTGAGGAAATTTAAATTCTGCTGTGAAGATGGTTGAGTATACACTATCACACAGACATGACAGACAACTTGACAATCACCTACCTTATTTTGTTTACATTTTGATTACTGTCTGAGGACAGTACAGCTACCTGAAAGAAAAAGGATGTGCGAAAATATGTCCAGATCATACATTTTTAAAATTCCTTCCTAAAAATATTGTCACTTTCCTTTGGAATATAGTAATCATATACCACTGGCTCTCCAGAAAACATAAATTAAAGAAATATGTCCTCTTTCATTATCATTAGAGAAATATTTACACTTCCCTTGGACAGTAGTTAAGAACTATTTCCTTCAGGGTACATGTTACTGGGGGAGAGGATATAACTCAGTGGTAGAGTGTGTGCTTAGCATGCACAAGGTCCTGGGATCGATCCCCCATATCTCCAGCAAAAATAATAAACAAACAAATAAACAAACCTAATTCCCACCTCCCCCCAAAAAGGTACATGTTACTTATAAACTCCTTGGAGGCAGAAATCATATTTCTCCATCTATTATACTCCCATGCAACCAGGAGAGGGCCTCCCACAAAACTTGAGGCTCTATAAATGTTTCATAAGCTGTTCCGTCTGCTTAGGGCTGGAATGGAAGATAAACCAAGGCTGCTGTTCTCAAGGAATGACTCACACATGGTAAACCGTCTTAGGGAACTGCAACACAGTGTGCTGTAATAAAGGTGTGTACAGAATACTTGAGCTCACGAAAAATGGGGAGGTTGCCAAGAGCTCTTTACAGAAAGGTGACATTTTAGTCTAAGGACAGATAAGAACTCACCATGCATAAAAGCAGCAGACAAGGAAAACACAGTGTGCGGTCCAATGTCTAAAGCACAGAGCAGGTGCAGGAAGTGGTGGACGGCAATGAAACTGGGCCAGTTTTTAAGGGTCTTGTGTTCTGTACCAAAGAATTGGATTTTACCCTCTAGACAAGTAGTTTTCCAAAGCAGGAGGGCGCTCACTCAAGAGCATATGCCAAATGAATATACATATGTATATGTATGACTGAAACGCGATGCTGTACACCAGAAAGTGACATAGCATTGTAAACTGACTATACTTCAATTTTAAAAAATACTTTAAAAAAACCAACATAAGGAACATATGTATAATACTTTAACGGGGAAAAGAAGAAAATTTTTTTCCAGATTTATTGAGATACTGACATATAACATGTCAGTTTAAGGTGTACAATGTGATGATTTAACACATGTATATATTGCGAAATGATTCCATAATAAGGTGAGTTAACACCTCCGTCCCCTCACATAATTGCATGTCTGTGTGCGTAGTGATAACATTTAAGATTGACTCTCTTAACTTTCAAGTGTATAAAAGAATATTGTTAATTATAGTCACGATGCTGTACACTATATCCCCAGAACTTATTTATCTTATAACTGGGAGTTTGTACCCTCTGACTGACATCTTTCTTGTTCCCCTCACCCCACTCCCAGCCCTTGGCAATCATCATTCTAATCTATTTCTGAGTTCAGCTTTTTTAGACTTTGCATATAAGTGAGAACATACAGTATTTGTCTTTCTCTCTCTGACCTATCTCACTTAGCATAATGTCCTCAAGGTCCATCTATATTGTCCCAAGAGACAAGACTTTCCTTTTTAATACTGAATCATTTTCCATCACATTTTCTTTATCCACTCATCTGTTGACAGACACTGAGGTTGCTTCCACGTCTCGGCTATTGTGGACAGTGCTGCAGTGAACATGGAGGTGCAGATCTCTTTGAGAACCTGGTTCCATTTCCTTCAGATATACGCCCAGAAGTGGGGTTGCTGGATCGTATGGTAGTTCTATTTCTAATTTTTTTGAGGAAACACCATAAAGTTTTCCATAGTGGCTGTAACAATTTGCATTCCCACCAACAGTGCACAAGGGTTCCCTTTTCTCCACATCCTCCCCAACACTTGTTATCACTTGTCTTTTTGATGATAGCCTTTCTAACAGGTGTGAGGAGGTATCTCATTCTGGTTTTGATTTGCATTTCCCTGATGATTAGTGATGTTGAGCATCTCTTCTCATGCACCTGTTTGCCCATTTATATGTTTTCTTTGGAAAAGAGGTCTATTCAAGTCCTTCATCCATTTTTTAATCAGATTGTTTATTTTTGTGCTATTGAGCTGTATCAGTCCCTTACATTTTGGATATTAATTCCTTATAAGAGAGATGGTTTGCAAATATTTTCTTCCATTCTGTAGGCTGCCTTTTCATTTTGCTGATTTTTTTTTTTGCTATGCAGAAGCTCTTTAGTTTGATGTAACTCCATTTATTTATTTTTTATTTTGTTATCTGTGCTTTGGTGTCATATCCCAAAAAATCACTTCCATGACCAATGTCAAGGAGTTTTCTTCTAAAGGATTTTAAAGTTTCAGGTCTTACATTTAAGTCTTTAATGCATTCTGAGATAATTTTTGTCAATAATGTAAAATAGAGTCCAATTTCATTCTCCGGCATGTGGTTATCGAGTTTTCCCAACACCAGTTACTGAAGAGGCTATCATTGCCCTACTGAGTATTATTGGCACCCTTGTCAAATATTAGTTGACCTTATATAAGTGTGGGTTTATTTCTGGGCTCTCAATTCTGTTCCATTGGTCTATGTCTCTATGATTATGCCAGTACCATACTGTTTTCATTACTACAGCTTTGTAATATAGTTTGAAATCAGGAATTGTGATGCATGAAAAGAAGTATTGCAAGAAAAATACATTAAAGAGAAACCTTAGATTTATTGGAAATATTCTTACCAATCCTATCTTTTTAAAATATTATAATGTTCCTCCTCAAATAATTACATTAGGTCATTGCTTTAGTTAGGCTGATCTGTGTAGTACTTAAAGATTTAGTGTTTCTCTTTTGCAAAAATCTGAGCAAATATTTTGACTAATACTCTGCATAAATTACAAAGATATTTTGAGGAAAAAAAAGATCAGTGGAATTTAACTGACAGAATTCTATGAGAATTCCAAATGGTGAAAGGTTACTTCACATATAATAATGTGATACAATTTAAAGAAAATAGTTACTAAACCCTAGAGATTCAAAACCAGAAAATGACAAAGAATTTTGAAATTAATCCAAAGAAATTAACTCTCAGATGATTATCTGTCGTTTGGCCAAAAGTTAATAAATTAATTAATTAAAACATCAAATAAAATATCTCAATATGTATTATATCTCAATAATCATTATAATTTGTGATTTTACTTATTTATTTTAGAGGAAAAGCTGGGATAAAGAAAGGAGGATTTTATGAGGCCACATTCTTCATCCAAAAATTCCTTTACCAATTTTATTATTAGTCAATTTAGTAGTTCAAATATTTATCTCTCCATTCAGTTTGTTACTCCCTAGATATTCCTGCCTATTTGAAATTCTCACCTGGTAGCCTCACCAAGGCCAACATGACAAGCACGGTGAAAGAACCAAGGTCAGGAAATTCTCAGCTCACAAAGATAAATGAGACTTAGTACCTGTTCCTAGGACAGCAACAGTCACAAAAGGGAACTGAAACAGCTGCACAGCCGACTACTAACTACATGATTCCAGATCGAATGTCACCTGTATTTTAAAAGAAGTAGAATGAAAATCAGAAGGGACTTCCTAAGATGGGTAAGCTCATTTTCCAAAACAAACTTAACAAAACAATAACAGCGAACCAATATTGAGACTTACTATCCATCATGTACCATGACTAAATGCATTATCTTATTTATTTCTCACAACAACTCAATGAGTTGTTTAAAAAAAAGTTGTTTCTATTATTATCTTCATTTTTCAGAGGAAGAAAACACCTAGTCTTTTGAAGTAGACACTGCTCAGGAGACATTCTTTTCCTATCCAAAGACAGGATTGGGGGTGGAAACAACCTCTCACATGGTTTACCACTCTGCTGTCCAAAATGGTAACCCAAGGCACATGTGGTTATTAAACACTCAAAATGTGACTTTTTTTTTTTGTAGTTTAAATCATTATTTTGTAAAATTGGCACTATGCTCTATAATTGGAGAATTACCTTTTTTAAACTTATCAAACTATCATGGATATCCTTTCATGTGAATATGAATGGATCTACCTCCTTCCATAGTATGTATGTAGCACCTTTAATTTAACTATATATATATTTTTTTCAGTTTTCAGTTTTATTAGGTAGAATTGTTATAATTTGACTGCACATATACAACATATTGCATGTAAATACATATACACAATATACTGCACACTTTAAAAATTTACATATATGTACCGTTCATTGTTCTAAGAACGTTTAGAGCTTTAGCTTTTAAAACTTATATAGTTATCAAAGGAAAAAAGCCAACCACAAAATAAGAATCAATTCAAAAAAATACATACACCCCCGCTATTGACAGCAACATTCTTTATAAATGTCAAGACATGGAAGTATCCTAAGTGCACATAAATAGACAAAAGGATAAAGAAGATGTAGCATATATATGTAATGAAAAAATGTGGCTGGTCTTAATGAAGATGTGCTGTAAGTGTAAAATACACACCAGATTTCAAAGAAAAAGAACGTAACAGATCTCATTAAGAGTTTTATATTGATTAGATGTTGAATTGGTAAAATTTTTGATATACTGGGTTAAATAATGTATACTATAAAATCAATTCCATCTCTTTTGTTTTTTAAATGTTAAATGTGGCTATTAGAAAATTTAAAATTGCATATGTGGCTTGCCTTATATTTCTACTGAACAGCACTGGTTTAGAGTCGATAAAGGAAGGAATTACCAACCAAAACATAAATAACATCAACAACAATACTTTATGGTAGTGAGCCATGAGGAATTAAATGCCAGACAGAAGGAAGAATAAAGTGTTATTTTAACACTTAAATGAAAAAAATCCCAAGGGGAAGGGTATATAGTTCAGTGGTAGAGCACGTGTTTAGCATGCAGGAGGTCCTGGGTTCCATCCCCAGTACCGCCATTAAATAAATAAATAAATAAATAAACCTAATTATCTCCCACCCCTCCCCCAAATAAAAACAAGATCTTCATTAAAAAAAAATCTGCTTAGGAAGATTATAAAACAAACAAAAAAACCCAAAAGTACCTCCTCTGGGCCTAGAATCAATGACAACATAGCAACAAGAAGCACACCCAGCACACATCTTGGTTTCTAATGTCATTTACCTTGGACAAATGCAGGCACAGAGATGGTACAGGATAAGCCTGGGCATCTTGCAACACCAGGAAGTATGGCAGTGCTCAGAAAACACAAAATACTGACTACTACATATAAAATAGATAAACAAGTTTCTGCTGTATAGCACAGGGAACTATATTCACTCTCTTGTAGTAACCTATAATGAAAAAGAATATGAAAATGAATATATGTATGTACATGTATGACTGTAACATCATGCTGTACCCAGAAATGGACACAACGTTGTAAACTGACTATACTTAAATTGAAAAAAACAAAACAAAACACAATGGGGCATATGAAAGGGACACAGGAATCGGGGGAGGGTATAGTTCAGTGGTAAAGCATGTGTAAGCATGAGGTCCTGGGTTCAATCCCCAGTACCTCCATTTAAAATAAACAAATAAACCTAATTACCTGCCTCCCCTATAAAAAAAAAGCCTGAGGGAGGAAAAAAAGGGACAGAGAAGCCAACTGAAGAGCTCCCAATAACCAAAGGTGGAACAATTTGAGCAATAAAACAAATGTGTTAGGTTATAACCCAAAGTATAAAATAAATAGCCATGAGTCCATACTAATATAAATAAATGATTGAATGAATAAATGAATAGGGGCGAACAGACACATTTCCCATATAAAGAATGATGCGGATACAAACAATTCTGCACAGGGAGGGTATAGCTCAGTGGTAGAGTGAATGCCTAGCATGCACAGCGTCCTGGGTTCCATCCCCAATACCTCCACTCAAAACAAATAAATAAATAACTTAATTACCTTCCCCTCCCCCCAAAATAAATAAATAAAAATATGAAACTGTAAAATAAATAATTCTGCTCCTCAAAGAGATGGAGCATAAGGTCCTAACCCTTAAGTAGAGTCTGCACATAATGACTTCCTTCCAGAGAGAAAAGAATGGAAAGAATGGGAAGGGAGGGGGAAAATGAGCAACTTTCCAGGAGGAAAAACCTGACAAACATGACCACAGGCCAGAGAAGCCCAAGGAGACACAATGACTTAAACATAATGTGACATCCTGGATGGAATTCTAGGACGTTAGGTAAAAACTGAAGAAAACTGAATATAAAGTATGAACTTCAGGGCAGGAGAGTACAGCTTAGTGATAGAATGCACAGGGTCCTGGGTTCAATCCCCAATACCACCATTAAAAAATAAATAAATAAATAAACCTAATTACCTGCCCCCACAAAAAGGTGTTAATCAGTTAATAATAATCTTTGGGAGTTCAAGAGTTGCAGATACTGACTGGTATATATAAAATACATAAACAAGTTTATACTGTATAGCACAGGGAAATATAGTCAATATCTTGTAGTAGCTCCCAGTGAAAAAGAATATGAAAATGAATATATATATTCATGTATGACTGAAGCAATGTGTTGTACACCAGAAACTGACACAACATTGTAAACTGACTATACGTCAATAAAAAAAAAATCTATCAATATTAGCTAATTAGCTGTGACCAATGTACTATACTAATGTAAGTTCTTAATGGGTCAAAGAAGGCGAAGGGTATGGGAAAATTCTCTGGACTATCTCTACAACTTTTCTATAAACTTACAACTTTTAAAATAAAAAGTGTGTTTTGTTTATTTTTCTGTTTTTTGTTTTTAAAAAGGACCCCCTCTGGTTTGAAATCTTTCAAGTAGGTCGGGATCTTTATTCCCAGGTTCAAGTCCTCTCCTAGCCTTTCTATTCAGTGTGTTCACCTCTGAGCTTCTTAACAATACAGAATCTCAGGCCCAACCAAGGTGTACTAGTCAGGGTCCACCAGAGAAACAGAGAAACAGAACCAATAGGTGGCAAGTGTGTATGTGTAAGAACAATTATTAAAAGGAACTGCAGTGGGGAGGATATAGTACAGAGGTAGAGGGCATATTTAGTTAGCATGCATGAGATCCTGGGTTCAATTCCCAGTACCTTCATTTAAAAAAAAATAAGTAAGTAAATAAATCTAATTGCCTCCCTCGTCCAAAAAAGAATTGCAGTTCATGCAATTATACAATTATGAAGGCTGACAAGTCCAAATCTGCAGTATGGGTGGGCAGCCTAGAGACCCATGGTGGAAATGAAGTCTGAAGGCAGTCAGCTAGAGAACTCTCCCTTGCTCAGAGGGTAGATCTCAGTTCTATTCAGGCCCTGGATTAACTGAACAAGGTCTACCCACACTACAGAGGCCAGTCTGCTCTACCCAGAGTTCACCAATTGAAATGTTAACCTCATCCAAAAACATCCTCCAAATTGACATATAACTATCACAAATACTGCGTTAACCACTTATACGTGGAATCTAAAGAAAAAAACAAATGATTAGAATAAAACGGGGGCGGAGGGACAAGAGAGGGCCAGGGGGTCAAGAGGTACAAACTATGTATAAAATAAGGCACAAGGTATATTGTACAACACAGGGAATATAGGCAGTACATTATAACAACTTCAAATGGAGTATAATCTATAAAAATTTTTAAACACTATGTTGTATACCTGAAACTAATATATTGTAAACCGACTACACTCAATTTTAAAAAAAATCAATGTAATTTACCTTATCAATAAATTAAAAATAAAAACCATATGGTGATTAAAAAATTTTTTTTAATTAACTGTCACACCACACCTGAAAAAGCTGAATTTGCACTTTAAAAGGAACTGCCTGGTGATTTCCAGCATTCAAGTTTAAGTGGAAACTTCAAGACTCCTGAAGGGCCAGAATCCTCCTCTAAGAGTTTAAAATCTGCATGATAATTTCAGTAACTCAGAAACAAGGCTTGATTCGTTTTAGCTTTAACCGATAACCTTCCTAGTATTCACCGGTCTGAAGGTTAGCGATGCCTTCAGATACCGCCACCCTTCCCGTTGGACAAGGTGACCCTCACCAAGATCGAACTGATGACTTGTGAGTCCCCCCAGTTACAGTGAGCCCCCAGGGGCATCTACCATTTCATCTCCAGGCCTTTACGACGCAGATAATCCGCCTATCTAGTCTGTGATCCTTAGAGATCTGCCCACCCCATCCCGCAAGGCATGGAGCCATCTTCTCCGTCCTCCACCTCAGGGTCAGCAAATGCTGGAGAGCCTGCCCAAACTAGACCTGTGGAGAAGAAACACGTACATCACACGATTCCACAGGGGGAACGTCCTCCACCTCAGGGTCAGCAAATGCTGGAGAGCCTGCCCAAACTAGACCTGTGGAGAAGAAACACGTACATCACACGATTCCACAGGGGGAAACCACATGAAAATGCTGATATTGGGTTACTCTGCCCTACAAAACCGGCAGTTTCATAGGACTCAGCAATATGTTCCTATCGACTGTTTTTCCTCCTCAAAAGACTAAAGTTAAAAAAAGAAAAAAGCTACTCTAGGGACAAGATTCTGTCACGGGTAGTCCGGGCCAGGGTTGCTAATACACACGGCAATTTACTACAGTAACTGAGCGCCTAGGAACACCATCCATTCCAAGTTCGATCCACGCCCTCCCCTTACTTAGACGCGATGGAAGCCCCCGCCGCGCGTCTCAAGGTTCTCGGTCACCCCCGCTCCCAGAGGGGCAGCCTCTGAGCTTTACAAGGGAGCGCAAGGGAGGGAACACGGTTGTCAAGTTCACCGGCGACCAGGCAAGGCTTCGAACCAGCGGGCCAGCTACGTAGGCGCCCTACGCGCCGCGGGAGCCGGGACCCTTGACCTCCACCGTCCCCTCTAACCCTTCGCGGAGACGCCCGAGCCCAAGATGGCGACGGGAGCGGAGTCGGAGTCTGAGGGGCGGGGCCTACAGGGGCGGCGCCGGCGGGGCGGAGTCTGAGGCCGCCGTGAGACGCGACCGACGGACACACGGAGGGTAGGAG